CTCCCGTAGTGTTACTACAAAACGATATTCAGAGATGTAGCTGTTTCGCCTAGTATCATCACTGTAGATATACAACGGATAACAAGTTAAAAATATTTTACCTTTTACATTTCTGTTAAAAGTTTATCTTTTTTCGCTTTCAGTGAATTGATTATAGTTGTTTTTCGTTAATTGCGCCGAGCTATGGGATCGCCTCGGGTCAGTTTTTAGACGGATCTCGCCATCCCCGAGTGATTCCGGAAAGTACAGCATTAACACATCTTTCTCTTAAAAGTACTTCTTAATATCTTTTTTATCACAAATGAGATCAGAAGCTAGAGTCATAGTGCGGGAAATAATGTCGATTGAAGTACCATGTAGTGACCACATCACGCGATATTTTGTGAGATTTGACGTACTCTGTCGAGGATTTGTCGCACGCGGATGCATTTCCGGTATGGTGACGCCACGCACTGTTCACCGCGTAATATCTTCCCAGCCTCTCAAGAATGAACTCCGTTGCTCCTTGAATTGAAGCGCCATGACAGTTGATCAAAGCCATATTAATGATGTCGTTTCCGTTACTTTTGATAGATTTGATATGGTCGAGTGCGCATGCGTTGTTTTGGTACATAGTCGGACGTTTTATTCCCATCCTGATAGGTAAACTACATATCACCGAGCAGCTCGGAAATCCACTGAATCTGCTGTGGTTAAAGAGACATGTTGGGCACAACGATAACAACTTAATGGCCATACCAGTTAACAGAATGATAAGCAACATCGTTTGACTGACATAGTCGTCACTATCATATGATCGGCAAAGTAAGACAGTACACTGCTGGAGAAGACGTCATGTCAACGCTGTAGTCCCACGTTACACTGGATCCCTGCAAACGAATATCGTAGCATGCAAATTACTTTTGGTTGGTACAGGAACGAGTAATTTACACAAATACAAGTTGTCGGAGTACAACAGCAACAAAGTTCGACATGTTGAATTAAGTAAATCTGAGAATGCCAAGTGTATAGCAATTACCAGCGGCATAATTGTAGACCATCGATATTCCTCACAATATACTTTTATTCCATACATTCGTTACGTAACACCGTTTTAGTTCTTGTATGTAACTATTTCCTATAACAGATCTCTGAGGTACGAGACATGTCTCTGCTTATCTCGGCGGTTACAGTGGCCCTGGTTACGAGACAGGTCTCTGATTATATACGTCTATCTACTTTTCACCAAGTGAAAGCCTCGGTTCTTTAATCAAAGCTGCAGTGTCTTGCAAAACGTCTTGTCAAACGTTCCTATTAATCAACCAACCATGAAAATATTCCAAGTTTACCAATGAACCAAATGAACCTTCACGGTATTCAGTCAACCAGGAAAAAAAACTTTCTTAGTAATCAATCAGCCATAAAATATGTTCCTGGTAATCATTGAACCAAAAATATGTATATAGTAATCAGTCAGCCAGAGAAACGTTCTTATTAATCAGCCAACCGTAAAACTGATAGTTAGCTATCAACCTACCATACAAGCGTTCCTGGTAATCAGTCAACCATAGAGAACGTTTGTGATAATCAATCAAGCGGGGAAACTTTCCTAGTAATCACCCAACCAAAAAAGTCCCTATTTCTTCAAATAACCATGGAAACGTTCCTACTAATCGATCAGCTATAGAAGCCTTCCTTGTAATCAACCAACAATAAAAAAATGTCCCTGTTTTATTACTTAGTTATAGAAACATTATCACATTTATCACAATTTATTATAATGAATAACAAGAATTTAATTGTACATGAGTAATATGTTGAATTTCCTCTACACTATGTTAATTTATTGTGTGTGTGTGTTGGATAAGAAAGTCTGCGTTCCTTTGTTTTTCATACCTGTAAATGTTTTATTTCATTCTGAAGTGATGAGCAGCAATGCTCAACATAGTAAAGAATTGATTTGAATTGAAGCAATGAAAACGTTCCCTGTAAAACAGTGAAACAGCATTGATATCAGTAACAATGATTTTTTCCGAGAAACGATTGACTGAACAAATAGTCAGTTGAAAATATTGACAATTTTCTAGCAAATGAGTTAGATTTGTCTGTAAAAAAAATGTATCTCCGACTGATAGAACACTTAAGTGATGAAAAAATATCTTGTTCAATTTGTTTACTATAGGGGATTGAGTGTATCGCCTCGTGAACAGTTCGAGTCATTTCGAGGCGGTGTTTTTGTTAAGAAACCAGCAGTAGTACAATATTGTCTGATCATATGTTGTTATAACTTTAATTAATATGAGACTGAAGATAATAATTTCTCTCTATCCGCATGTCCTAGACATTCAGAATTAAGAAAGACATTTATTGAAAAACATTATCGGTAATACCCCATCTGTATTCAGAAGTTGAATTTTACTGAATACACATAGAAGATTAGGATAAGGAATTATACTGTAGTAACAGATCAGCAGAGAACACGGAAATGAATTGATACCGAGATTTAATATGTGTAATGTTGTCGGTGTGATAAAGGTGTTACCTAAAACGATATTTTTCTACACTGTCAATTCAATGTATTACTGATTTATTGCCGACGACGACGATGACGACGACGACGATGACGACGACTGTAAGATTTAGACTGACGAACAGACGATAAGGTTTGTAGCAGATACCCATCTGCATTCACTAGCACTCCTGTTCGTGTTCAATAGATCAGATTCATATGACCCATTTTTATTTTCAAGTTCAATATTCCAGAGACAAAGGCCAGTCTACATATCTTATGTAGATAATTTGCTTATAGAAAAACGAACTTCAGTTAATCACAGATAAATGGTACATAATCATACAAAATCAAACATTTAAAATGTGCGTGCAAATATCAATTTAAAAATAGAATTGTGAACCTGATAAAACCTGTTTTTATTACATAAAGCATAATATTAATTCATAAAACTTACCAAAATGTGGTTACAAAACATAAAAATATACCAAAAGTCCATAACATACATTTCATTTCAACAAATTTTATTGCACAAAAGTGTACAACGTGATAAAACAACAGACATAGCCTATAACAGACTTTCCATGGGGATATGGTTTCAATGTATTTGTATAAAATTTGATGGAATTTGACAAAACATCAATTAAACTAAGTGAAAACAATACAAGTGCAAGTACACGGAGATAAGGTAAACAAAATATATGTCTGTTGCACACAAAATATATGTCTGTTGTACACAAAATATATGTCTTTTGTACACAAAATGTATGTCTGTTGTACACAAAATATATGTCTGTTGTAAACAAAATGTATGTCTGTTGTACATAAAATGTATGTTTGTTGTATACAAAATACATGTCTGTTGTACACAAAATATATGTCTGTTGTACATAAAATGTATGTCTGTTGTAAACAAAATACATGTTTGTTGTAAACAAAATGTATGTCTGTTGTACACAAAATGTATGTCTGTTGTACACAAAATATATGTCTGTTGTACATAAAATATATGTCCGTTGTATAGAAATTAGAAAATATATGTGTATGTCTGTTGTACACAAAATAAAAAAGTGTATGTTTGTTGTACACAATATGTATATATGTTGTACATAAAATAAAATGTATGTATGTTGCACACAAAATAAAAAAAAATATGTGTATATCTTCTTAAAAACATAACCTTATCGATTTCGATACGAACAGAACTCCTTGTTTCTATTTAAAGATATATTGTCATACAAACAGAAACAAACATAATTATAATCTTATGTACAAAATACTATCAACATATCAACCTTAACACAGATATCAATATAATTTTTCCCGCGTCCATATTTCAATGAAATAATTATTTATACAAATGGATATTGCTACATACAAAATATGTTATAGAATATGCTTGTATAATGTGTATTTTTTTTATAATTAAACGTATTTATAGGATATACAAAATAATTGTTATTTACATAATTTAAACTAATTAAGACGTGTATGTAAATAAAATACATCATATATATAGTGTTCGTTAATCTTTGCTGCAATACTGTACACAGAAAATCGAGGAGAAATTATATTACACTCACTGTTAAAATTCAATACAGATATATAGTTAAAAATCAGGGAGTAGAAAATAGTTCATATTGTGACTATAGTCTTTTTAGGAAACACGAAAACTATTTAATAGGCTCGTTAAATATGGGTACTTTTAGCAAATTATATGATATACACTTAAACTGTGTATGTGTTTAATCCGTCTGATGGTCAGAGAGAAATGTACTAATTTTATCTAAATATCGCTTTATTTAATAATCCCCGTCAAAGTGATTTGTTAGACAACAGTTATAACATTTGATTGACCTATTCCATGTTTAAGAAAGGCAGCTGAAGCGTAAAATTACTGTGGTAAACAATTCAATTTTAAAAAATCACATATTTCTGATATTTTCTAAACTTGATTTAAAAATGATTTAATCAACAGTATTCGTGCTGTCATTGTGTGAACTTAATCGTGTTATGTCAGTGATGCCATGTAACATCGTTTACCAGTACAAACATTCAAGTTAAAAGATTATAAACCGTCCTATGATTAGAAAATTCATCTCACTTCAAATGACAGTGAAACCATCAGACCGTGACACGGTCTGTAAACAAATTTGTTTATTTACATGATTAATACAGGGAGTTGAATTGTAACATTACTCTGATGGTAGCGACACAATGTGACTGACACCTCGCCACCCGACCACCAGTGTACGGCTCTCTAACCAACACACGATTCTGATTGGCTGAACCGGGTCGCCTCTGACTAGTGTTCACGACCGTGTTTTCTTAAACACGACTGAACACTAGTCTCAATTAAGGCGATAAAATCAGCGGTATTCTTGGAAATTTCATCAGTGATCGGAAAATAATCGAAAGAGTTAGGTTACTGGAAGTTCGTGTAATCTGTATTTATAACGGCACCAGAACACACTATTCTACAACAGGGGCTGATTTGCATATTAAGTTGAAGATGAGACTGACGGACTCAAGTTTTGAGTATGAGGATGAGGAGTATAAATATATCACTGTGTTCGATGACAACGATGAAGATGAATCTAGCGAGTTCAAAACCAAGTACTTAAGGATGATCAAGGTGAGTGGACCTTATCAGATTTACCGTTATCTCTTAAATAACGGGATGTCTTATTTTTTTATTTTAATATTGTGTTTTGCTTGTTTTGTATATTTATATACAATGTACATATCTATTATACGAAATAAATAACATGTATTATACTATTCGTTTGGTATAGGTCTTCGTCTGTCGATTTTATAAAAAAAATATAAGTCATTTATTATAAGTACTTATGTAATTGGGACGCCGCATTTATTTGGTATCTAGAGAATTTTGAAAAAAAAAAATTGTTTCTCGATAATTAATATCTTGATTGTGCTCAGCAAGTTGGTTATAATATCGTAAGTCATCGTTGAGATCCAGCTATCTTAATATATATATATAATAGAGCTTGGAATACTAGATATATAAGTCTTATATAACAGGTGTAACATGTCTAGAATATCCTGACAACTTTGATAAATCCACTTAATGTAATAGGTTAATCGTTGGTATTTGAACTAAATATTTCTGTTTTAGAATATACAGTTCATTTCGGCACATTGACAATTTTATTTCATATTTTAAGAAACATTAAAATGAAGTAAATTTTCGTCGTATTTATTAAAACAAAAAAATGCTACTAAATAATGGTTACTGTGCAAAATCATACCGAACTAAATCCATGCTTCAAGGATAATGTGTAATAGCAGATAAATGGGACCCACAACAGAATGATAACAATTTCTCAATCTGTACTGCCTTGACCGCAATCTGGAGAGACATCTCAGAAACCACATCTCGGATCCAGAAATGACGCGCCTCTAGTTAAACATTACTAATTCAATATAGAGCCTTTCTGGAAGGGGGATAAAAACGGTGACAAATTGCATTACGTTTCTGTCCATCATCTTTTGTTAGGAGATTCAGAAATGGGAAATTCATTTTTTATCGAAAGTCAGAAACGCGTTCCTATCTTTTGTGCTACGTGAGAGAATATTACGATTCTTGAAAAGAGATAATTCTTCGAACCATCAGCATACGATGTGTATGCATACCATATTGGTGCTTCATTTTCATTGGGGATATGATTCAACCTTTTAAGAAAATCGCATCCCGAACCCTTTTAGTATGAACGACTTATAACCGCGCTTTATATTTTACGGATTGGTTTAAAGTAAAGAAAATGCGTGTAGGTTCGCCATTGTATTGGTGTTGATATTGAGACTAGAAAGAAATGTATTACCTAGTGAAAGACATGTCCGTTTTTACGCTGAAATTCCATTTCTGCCTCGTGCAAAGTCATCTTTGTGCTCCATTAAAACGCCAACTTCGGGTCCGCGACTGAAGCTTGGCGGAAGTGCGTTACCCCGAACTCTTTTGATCCACACTCACTTTCCACTTAGATACTCCATCTGACTGGCTTCCTAACTCCTAGGCGAGCCGTCACCAGCGTCCGTCCATTAATAGACAGACCACTAAACCATTTAAAGGTATTTTACCAGTGTTTCTGTCACGAAAACTACAAAATGAAAATCCATTTGTTTTTGTAAAAACACTGTATTATTATTTCAGATACGAAACCATTATAGCTAATGTATCGTTGTCATAATGGATATTTTCTCGTTTTTTTCCCCCAAGAAGCATTTTTACTAAAAATCACCTGACAAACCTGTTATACCTGTAAACGACCGTATGATAATGACCGAATAGTTATGCTGTAGAAAACGCTACATTTTATCAATAAATATAGACCCAATATTATTATATATACAATAGTTAATTTTTAAAAGTAGATCAATAGTGATTTTCATATTTTTCAATATATATATAATCAAATATAAATTTAAAAAAAATCAGGAGTAGTTCACAATATGTAATAGAAAGTCATATAAACGCTGTATTTACAAACGTTTTCAATTCAACATTAATAATTATTATTTAGCAAAACATTTCATTCGTACATTCTACTAGTCACAATTTTCCCAGAAAATTTGACTCTGCAACAGGCACATTGTTGTGTGTTTACACCTTTCTATATCTGAGATCAACATGTCTAATCCGTTTTGTACAGGGAGTCGTACACTTGATCAGAGTACATAGATAAGAATACGACAAGGTTACCACACAATAACACTATGTCTGCAGACAAGTAGGGGTCATCGCCGCCCCACCACCAGGGGGGCGACCTCCCGGGGCGTGTCCATACAGTGTCCGGCTTGTCCTGACCCGTATGGGGCAAGGTCACAGGGGCAGTATAGATGTCAGGGATAAGAGGATTTTAAATGAAAACATTCTTATTTTTTTTCTACTCCAACACATTAAGCCATCAGTATGTATACATAACTTATATAAACAGTTTTATCCGGGAATAACACCCGTCATCTGTACTGAAGTGATTGGCGAAATTTGAACACGTATTTAACTACCTGTCAAAGTAGGGTAATTCGCATTATAAGTGCTGTGATATTTTACTATCACATAAACCAATATGTTTATAATTTTCGTGTAAGTTGTACCCAATCCTATTTTTTAACAATATGTTTAAACTAATAAAAAACTTCCTGCATAACTATTTGCGACCAGGAATTTTTTTTATTTATTTACTTTCTTTATCTAATTATTCATTCACGTCCAAGGTTTCAAATTTTAACGTTAAATATTTTTACACCCATTTTCACAACTGAACGCGTAATAGCACATCTGTGTTTTATTTCCATTGTCTGTTTGACTTTCTTCCATTTAAAAGTTAGCTAGAAACTTAAGGCCATTTCAGGCCAATAACATTTTTATAGAGGGCCATTAATTATATAATATGAAAATAAATGTTCCTGAAATGTTCTACATTTAACGACCTGTTGAGTATCTAATATCTATACATCTTGACCATCACTCGGACTTCTCCGGACAAGTCCTGGTCAGTCGGATGTCATTTTAATGTCCGATTTATTACAGCGATAGAGAACACAGACTTCTCCAGTTCAGTCACAGAACCATTTCTCCAGATGTTAAAAAATTCGTAATAAGTTCCGTCAGCTTATCGTTTGCGTATTTCAAATTTCAATTCAGCATTATTTCGTTTAAAAAATGCAAATATTTATTCAGTCAATTCAAAATATTTATGGTTGTTTGATGAATAAATTTAAGAAACCGATTTCTCTTCTATATCTATAAGTGAGTTGTTATCTATCAAGAAACTTCGAATCCAAACTATACAGAGTCTGGCATCTCGGTCCAGATGGGGCCCTGAAAGGAAGATGCTGGTGCGTTCTGACACGAGATTTGACACATTGTTAAAACATTAGGAGTAGGGTTTACTTAAACGCAATAAATACTAAGTGTGTTCTCAACAAGCCACTTAAGTGTTGGAGCTGAGGGGGTTTTTACTACTTGGTCGGGGACAACTCGGCTGTTTTGTTTTACAAGATTAATTAACAATGCATTGATTATCACTTATCTCTAGGATGTCGTATTAAGTGACGACAGGGGTGAAAGTCACACAGACTCGACATCTCAGCGATCTGCTGGTAGGGAATATCAAAACAGTTTTATGAATCCATTTTTATAATAAAATATATAAATGTTGATTAAAACACAGAAATTCAGGATCGCTCAATATCGATGTTCACAATATTTTTTCAATATGAGTTGATGAATAGTAGATGTTCACCGTTATATTTTTCCCCATGAAATGTTCTTTTTTATAATTTTCAGAGAAGCTGTTTTTTTAAATTAAATTTTACTATTTATTTTATGACAAACACTTTTTCTCTTTCTTTGCAGCCTGACAGTGAGAACGGCGACCTTTGTTTTGGGTGTGGTGACCTGATATCTGATCGGTTCCTGCTGAGGGTGGATGGTCAATCTTGGCACATGTCCTGTCTACGCTGTTGTGTCTGTCAAACCAACCTGGAGCGCCAGACCTCATGCTACATCAAGGAGGGACACATCTACTGCCGGACAGACTACACAAGGTTAGGGTCAGTCTGTTTCTAAGGTTTTAATTATTTATCGCAAATATCTGTATCTCAGAGATAGCCCCAGATTTTTTTGAAAACTGGACCAAAAACATATTTTTGAAAATAATATGCTTACAACAATTTTCTTTCGACTCAATAAAAATATATGTTGATGCGAAAGAACCCCCCCTCCCCCCCAAAAAAGAAGAAGAAGAAAAAAATGAAACAGTATTAAATATCAACAGAAAATTTTCCTTTTGTTTAGCAACATTTCGGAAAGGCTGATCGTCGTACTAAAATAAATCAAAGCGATGAACATGAGAACACGTCGGCTGATATTATGTTAAACGAATGAGAGATTCAACATTATGACAATTTAGCGGAGAAATTGACCGAATAAAGAGAAATTCTCTAAAGATCCCAAGCTACATTGTTACCCCATGTCGACTTCGGATCAAATCAAACAGAATACATGATCCCGGCTCGTCTGGAAGATACTGAATGCCAGAAATGAGCTATCTTCCGTCGCACGAGACAAATCGCGTCAAGACTTGGCTGTGCGGACCGAGCTTTCGTTTATAGGCCAAATTAGCATCAATTGAAAAGGTTGAACATCGCAACATCGTACGTTCGTTTGATGAATACAAATTTATTGTATTGATTGAGTGTAATTAGGCAGAAAATGATGGCAGATCGGGAAATATCGACATCCAGGGTGTTCCCGGAAACACAAAATTAGTGTGATTTCCTTTCACTGTCGCTGGCCTGTTGGGTTAGCTTTACGTTACGGCGTGAGCTGTCGTCAATGTTATAGTGTTGTTATCTTTACCTAATTAGATTGTGATTATAGATTGAAATATTTCAGTAAGCGAAAGAAAATCGAGAGTAGCGACTATATCGGATTCTACAAACAATTTTTTATACGTCTCATAGTTCAATATTGACACCACAATAAAATATTATTGCCCTTTGGTATGAAATAAATCAGCATTGTTTTTTTTATATAATGTTATTTTGTTAGTTTCCCAAGTTCAAGAACAAATCTTATTTTTTTTCCTTTTCTTAACAGAGAATTCGGTGTGAAGTGTGCCAAGTGCTTCCGGTCAATCCAAGCCAACGATTGGGTAAGACGAGCACGTGACCACGTGTTTCATCTCGCATGTTTTGCCTGTGACAATTGCAAGCGCCAGCTATCCACGGGTGAAGAGTTCGCTCTACAGGAGGGGAAAGTACTCTGCAAGACACATTACATGGAAACTCTCGAAGGTGGTCCGAGAAAAGGTGAGACTATTATGCATAGTGAACCTTGTTAAGGTGTTACTCGACGTGAACCCATTGTCTGTTCACGGTTTCCATATCAAGGTGATAGTTGGTATACATTTTACAAAGTAATTATCACCAATCACAAAAACAGGTGTAAATTGATATACTTATAATTCAATATTCAATCATTCTTTCTTGATCATTAGAAGAAAATAGGTCAAAGATTTTGTCACAATAAGGTGTCAAGACAACTTTTGTAACAATTGATCTAACCTGCATTTGTCTGGCACCCCGTGTATAGAGTACTTCCAATGACGGGTATTTGCGTTGCTAGTCGGTCGGGTAAATCTGCTGTAGAAGTTGTTTTAAAATCGTTTTTTTTTAATATTACAGATTCTGAAGGAAGTCAGAAGTCGAAGACAAAACGCGTCCGTACGACATTTACAGAGGATCAAGTACAAGTTCTACAAGCCAACTTTCATCTCGACAGCAACCCAGACGGACAAGATCTGGAGAGAATTGCCCAGATCACGGGACTTTCTAAACGCGTGACGCAAGTGTGGTTCCAGAATTCAAGAGCGAGGCAAAAGAAACAGCAGCAGCAACAGACACAAAGCGGGAACACCAGTCCATCATCATTGTCCTCGCCATCTAAACTCTCCAGTAAGTCGATTCGCTCTGTTGCTTTATGCGTGTCCATTGTCTGTATAGCTTGCATCATATACTTCATTCTTTTTTTTAACAATTTTGAAATATCACATAACGTTAACGAAAAATGTCACTTTGAATGAAAATACTTCGATGACTACTAGATTTGTACTTTGTAATGATATTTTTTTATATTGTTGCAGGTCCATCTAATTGGTACATCGGTTCCGAGAGCCCTATGAGTGAAGACAGTCCGGCGTTTTCAGATTGACATTAAAAAAAAAGCTGACGACGGCGATGCGAAACAGATCTTTTGTGATTTGCACAGATATGGAACAAAACAATATCATTGGATAGTTCTGGTAATCACGTGATGTGTTATATCAGTGTCGTAACCAATGTTGTGTGACCATTTGTGACAGTTTATTGTGCTATTAACGGACTTAGTGAGACGTGATCGCTCTTTGTTCATGCTCACGTTGAACAAATCATGTTCAACATCCGCGTGTGTTGTCATAGAAACGCCACACACTGTCTATAGTGTCCGTGCTGTGATGTCTTTAGTATCGGACAGTTAACCACTATCTGAGGAACGTTTATGAAGACATGAACACCAGCGATTTGGTGCATCAGTGGAGTTGCTTATCAAAGATTTTATAAAACATGAATGTGTACAGTATATTTTATTGTATAAATACCGGTTTTTTGTTGTTTGTTTTTAATGTAAAGTTATACACCAAGATAATATATAAGTATAAATATACAAACGTGTTGTTTTTCTTTTCGAATAACTTTTGTGTTGGGAAGACTGACGGGCTGTGATTTGTACTACTTTTGTGTAAGGGAGACTGACGGGTTGTGATTTGTACTACTTTTATGTAAGGGAGACTGACGGGTTGTGATTTGTACTACTTTTGTGTAAGGGAGACTGACGGGTTGTGATTTGTACTACTTTTGTGTAAGGGAGACTGACGGGTTGTGATTTGTACTACTTTTGTGTAAGGGAGACTGACGGGTTGTGATTTGTACTACTTTTGTGTAAGGGAGACTGACGGGTTGTGATTTGTACTACTTTTGTGTAAGGGAGACTGACGGGTTGTGATTTGTACTACATTTGTGTAAGGGAGACTGACGGGCTGTGATTTGTACTATTTTTGGGTCGGGGAGACTGACGAGTTGTGATTTGTACTACGTTTGTGTAAGGGAGAATGACGAGTTGTGATTTGTACTACTTTTGTGTAAAGGAGACTGACGGGCTGTGATTTGTACTACTTTTGTGTTGGGGAGACTGACGAGTTGTGATTTGTATTACTTTTGTGTAAGGGAGACTGACGGGTTGTGATTTGTACTACTTTTGTGTCGGGGGAGACTGACGAGTTGTGATTTGTACTACTTTTGTGTAAGGTAGACTGACGGGTTGTGATTTGTACTGCATTTGTGTAAGGGAGACTGACGGGTTGTGATTTGTACTACTTTTGTGTATGGAAGACTGACGGGCTGTGATTTGTACTACAAATGTGTAAGGGAGACTGACGGGTTGTGATTTGTACTACTTTTGTGTAAGGGAGACTGACGGGTTGTGATTTGTACTACTTTTGTGTAAGGGAGACTGACGGGTTGTGATTTGTACTACTTTTGTGTAAGGGAGACTGACGGGCTTTGATTTGTACTACATTTGTGTAAGGGAGACTGACGGGTTGTGATTTGTACTACTTTTGTATCGGGGAGACTGACGGGTTGTGATTTGTACTACTTTTGTGTAAGGGAGACTGACGGGTTGTGATTTGTACTACTTTTGTGTAAGGGAGACTGACGGGTTGTGATTTGTACTACTTTTGTATCGGGGAGACTGACGGGTTGTGATTTGTACTACTTTTGTATCGGGGAGACTGACGGGTTGTGATTTGTACTACTTTTGTGTAAGGGAGACTGACGGGTTGTGATTTGTACTACTTTTGTGTAAGGGAGACTGACGGGTTGTGATTTGTACTACTTTTGTGTAAGGGAGACTGACGGGCTTTGATTTGTACTACATTTGTGTAAGGGAGACTGACGGGTTGTGATTTGTACTACAAATGTGTAAGGGAGACTGACGGGTTGTGATTTGTACTACAAATGTGTAAGGGAGACTGACGGGTTGTGATTTGTACTACAAATGTGTCGGGGAGACTGACGGGCTGTGATTTGTACTACTTTTGTGTAAGGTAGACTGACGGGTTGTGATTTGTACTACTTTTGTGTAAGGGAGACTGACGGGCTGTGATTTGTACTACTTTTGTGTAAGGGAGACTGACGGGCTGTGATTTGTACTACTTTTGTGTAAGGGAGACTGACGGGCTGTGATTTGTACTACTTTTGTGTAAGGGAGACTGACGGGTTGTGATTTGTACTACTTTTGTGTGTGGAAGACTGACGGGTTGTGATTTGTACTACTTTTGTGTAAGGGAGACTGACGGGCTGTGATTTGTACTACTTTTGTGTAAGGGAGACTGACGGGTTGTGATTTGTACTACAAATGTGTAAGGGAGACTGACGGGCTTTGATTTGTACTACTTTTGTGTAAGGGAGACTGACGGGTTGTGATTTGTACTACTTTTGTGTAAGGGAGACTGACGGGTTGTGATTTGTACTACATTTGTGTAAGGGAGACTGACGGGTTGTGATTTGTACTACTTTTGTGTAAGGGAGACTGACGGGTTGTGATTTGTACTACAAATGTGTAAGGGAGACTGACGGGTTGTGATTTGTACTACATTTGTGTAAGGGAGACTGACGGGCTTTGATTTGTACTACTTTTGTGTAAGGGAGACTGACGGGTTGTGATTTGTACTACATTTGTGTAAGGGAGACTGACGGGCTTTGATTTGTACTACTTTTGTGTAAGGGAGACTGACGGGTTGTGATTTGTACTACTTTTGTTTAAGGGAGACTGACGGGCTTTGATTTGTACTACTTTTGTGTAAGGGAGACTGACGGGCTTTGATTTGTACTACATTTGTGTAAGGGAGACTGACGGGTTGTGATTTGTACTACTTTTGTGTAAGGGAGACTGACGGGCTGTGATTTGTACTACTTTTGTGTGTGGAAGACTGACGGGCTGTGATTTGTACTACTTTTGTGTAAGGGAGACAGACGGGTTGTGATTTGTACTATATTTGTGTAAGGGAGAATGACGAGTTGTGATTTGTACTACTTTTGTGTAAGGGAGATTGACGGGTTGTGATTTGTACTACTTTTGTGTCGGGGGAGACTGACGAGTTGTGATTTGTACTACTTTTGTGTAAGGTAGACTGACGGGTTGTGATTTGTACTGCATTTGTGTAAGGGAGACTGACGGGTTGTGATTTGTACTACTTTTGTGTTTGGAAGACTGATGGGCTGTGATTTGTACTACAAATGTGTAAGGGAGACTAACGAGTTGTGATTTGTACTACTTTTGTGTAAGGGAGACTGACGGGCTTTGATTTGTACTACTTTTGTGTAAGGGAGACTGACGGGTTGTGATTTGTACTACTTTTGTGTAAGGGAGACTGACGGGTTGTGATTTGTACTACTTTTGTGTAAGGGAGACTGACGAGCTGTGATTTGTACTACTTTTGTGTAAGGGAGACTGACGGGTTGTGATTTGTACTACTTTTGTGTAAGGGAGACTGACGGGTTGTGATTTGTACTACTTTTGTGTAAGGGAGACTGACGGGCTTTGATTTGTACTACTTTTGTGTAAGGGAGACTGACGGGTTGTGATTTGTACTACTTTTGTGTAAGGGAGACTGACGGGTTGTGATTTGTACTACTTTTGTGTGTGGGAGACTGACGGGCTGTGATTTGTACTACTTGTGTGTAAGGGAGACTGACGGGCTGTGATTTGTACTACTTTTGTGTAAGGGAGACTGACGAGTTGTGATTTGTACTACTTTTGTGTGGGGGAAACTGACGAGTTATGATTTGTACTACTTTTGTGTAAGTAAGATTGACGAATTGTGATGTGTACTACTTTTGTGTAAGGGAGACTGACGGGTTGTGATTTGTACTACTTTTGTGTAAGGGAGACTGACGGGCTGTGATTTGTACTACTTTTGTGTAAGGGAGACTGACGGGCTGTGATTTGTACTGCTTTTGTGTAAGGGAAACTGACGGGTTGTGATTTGTACTACTTTTGTATCGGGGAGACTGACGAGTTGTGATTTGTACTACAAATGTGTAAGGGAGACTGACGGGCTGTGATTTGTACTACTTTTGTGTAAGGGAGACTGACGGGTTGTGATTTGTACTACAAATGTGTAAGGGAGACTGACGGGCTTTGATTTGTACTACTTTTGTGTAAGGGAGACTGACGGGTTGTGATTTGTACTACTTTTGTGTAAGGGAGACTGACGGGTTGTGATTTGTACTACAAATGTGTAAGGGAGACTGACGGGCTTTGATTTGTACTACTTTTGTGTAAGGGAGACTGACGGGTTGTGATTTGTACTACTTTTGTGTAAGGGAGACTGACGGGTTGTGATTTGTACTACATTTGTGTAAGGGAGACTGACGGGTTGTGATTTGTACTACTTTTGTGTAAGGGAGACTGACGGGCTTTGATTTGTACTACTTTTGTGTAAGGGAGACTGACGGGTTGTGATTTGTACTACATTTGTGTAAGGGAGACTGACGGGCTTTGATTTGTACTACTTTTGTGTAAGGGAGACTGACGGGTTGTGATTTGTACTACATTTGTGTAAGGGAGACTGACGGGCTTTGATTTGTACTACTTTTGTGTAAGGGAGACTGACGGGTTGTGATTTGTACTACTTTTGTTTAAGGGAGACTGACGGGCTTTGATTTGTACTACTTTTGTGTAAGGGAGACTGACGGGCTTTGATTTGTACTACATTTGTGTAAGGGAGACTGACGGGTTGTGATTTGTACTACTTTTGTGTAAGGGAGACTGACGGGCTGTGATTTGTACTACTTTTGTGTGTGGAAGACTGACGGGCTGTGATTTGTACTACTTTTGTGTAAGGGAGACAGACGGGTTGTGATTTGTACTATATTTGTGTAAGGGAGAATGACGAGTTGTGATTTGTACTACTTTTGTGTAAGGGAGATTGACGGGTTGTGATTTGTACTACTTTTGTGTCGGGGGAGACTGACGAGTTGTGATTTGTACTACTTTTGTGTAAGGTAGACTGACGGGTTGTGATTTGTACTGCATTTGTGTAAGGGAGACTGACGGGTTGTGATTTGTACTACTTTTGTGTTTGGAAGACTGATGGGCTGTGATTTGTA